TCAGCAGTGAGTCACTACCCCCTTTTTCACATCTCCATTTCCTCTAGGAAAAACCATCTGTCATTCTTTCCTATCTTCACACGGAAGGTGCCTGAGGAGGTTAAATCAGCATCTTTCCAAGATGCACTTTCAACACCTGCACCTCCTCACCTTGACCACGGGGGGCGCTGTGGAGACCTAGAGGTGTGGTTAAGTGGACCACACCTGCTCTTCAATCTTGGGGAACTCCCTAGCCTTTAAAACATGGAGGTCTACTCAGGAGAGGCAACAGCCTCATGGGGCAGCAAAAACTACCTACCTGTTTCAGCTATTAACCGTGTTTTAATTTGAGGCTTCTCTCACCTAGTCCGCTCTTGAAGGAGGGGAATGCAGAGGAACTCAAGTGTAACCACAGGCAGGCTTCAGAAGGAGTGTTGGCCACAATGCAATAAAAAGCGGGAATTAAAGTCTGGTCTGCTGTGCATTAATGACATTATGGAAGGCAAGAGGTCCAAGCCAGTCTTTATCCTCCAACCCCCCTTCCTCTCTGACACATAATTCATATACAAACATACACAGAGAGTCTTTCAGGAGAGACGATAAGAACACATTTCAAAGCAAAGCTACTGCTAATATTCCCCTTCGTTGGGCAGTTGGCCCAATAGACCAGCAATCTGTATGTACACTGAAAGACAGACTCATAATTTGAATACCAAGTCATGTTTCTCAAAACCATCACGTCATTGGTAGTCATTCTACATCCCACAATTTCACCTGGAAAATTACTGGGCTACCAGAAAAGAGGAATTGTTTAGTATTAAATGTTTAGCCTTCCTGTGAAAGAATTACAAAGGATATCTAACTGTGATATTTCCAGGCTATATACTTCCATCCACTAAGAGATATAAGCCAGCATGGCTACCTACTTCCTTGGCTTGTGCAGGTTACAGATTCCACTCTTCATTAACACAGACTGAAAAATCCAAGATAACTCCTCTATTCTTTTTTTCTTATGTGCTGACTGGCATATGTCCGATATTGACTGTCATTCCTAGTAAACGAGAGACCCAACCCTGTTGCTGAAGGTCAGTGAATGGGAAACTTGATTGTCTCTCATATATGAGTTTCAATATTATAGTCATACAGTATATGCCATACAAAATAGCCTAATCCATACTCTATTCCGATAATTCTCTATTTGATGATTTTATTTTAATATCTTTTGATCGTAAAGATATTCTATTTTTGCTATTGCTATTGCTTTTAAAACAGTACCCAAGCTAACCACCAGGGAGTAGTGGCTTCCCACCATGGGAAGCTGGATAATTCTCTGGTATATGATAAGGCTGCCCTCTTCATTATGATAGGATGGAAGACCAGCAGCAGCACCCCACCTCCGGAGGAAGAAAGCTATTTTCAGACGTTGCCACAGCAGAAGCTTGTGGAGTAGGGAGAGGAAAGGGCAGGACCAAAGCTGCCACAGTTAGACCCATAACATGGGCCTGCTTTCTTGAGAGGAAAGTAGAGAGGAGAAGCCAAGCACGTGGTGAACTCCTGTAGTTTCAGCTCTGGGGACGATGAGACCAGAGAGTCATGAGTTTGAGGATATCCTAGACTACATGACAAGTTTAAAGCCAGCGTGAGCTATATCATGAGACCCATATTAACAAAACAGGGCTTGGGATATAGCTCAGGAATTGCTTCCTTGCCATAGGAAAGCCTCAAAACCAACCAACCAACAAATAAAATTAGACAAAAAAAAAAAAGAAAGAAAGAAAGAAAGAAAGAAAGAAAATGACTTCTTCTTTCCCCACCATGTCTCCATGGGGTTTAATACCAATTTAGATTCTTCTTAGACATAATAGAGTCACTTTTTCAGAATTTCTAAAGCCCTGCACAGCATCTTCTGGATAGCTGTACCTTGAACTTCAAAGGGAATAGTCAAAGTGTTTGACATCCACTAACTACTGCTGGGCAAGCTATCAGTAAACTCCAACACAGCTCCACTTTGAGTCTTAAACTAACAGAATGTGAAAAGATCAATATGAAGAAATGCAAAACTAATCAGATCCCTTCTTTAAATGTTGACATAGTATTATTTATACCCCATAAATACATTCTTGGCTAAAATTCATACTAGGAGCTTGGCATCTGGCCAGTTCTATTAATATCTACTTTATTTATACAGCACACTTGGCCAAGGATAATATTTAAGACAAAGTATGCCTGAGGGCATATACAATATCTCTTATATTTTCACTTTTAAATCTCCACATTGCTAAAAATATTGAGTTTGAACTTTATAAAATGTCCCGCAAAGGGCTATCAACCATCTGTGGTGATATATAGTCACCAAGTACAATCAGGGCATATTTGTAATACTTGAGTTGAAGTCACTCCCTGAACACTAATAAGATGGTGGGGGAAAGGAAAAGAAAGAAGAAGCAGTGATCTTTCCCATGCCTTCCTCTGTGCACTTGTGGCCCTCTTCAGATTCACTGCACGGCACAGCAGGCACACGCCCCACAGCGAGAGCCCAGTCCCAAGCTGGGCAGAAAGTGCTGAGGAGGGAGAGAGGGAAAGCTGGCATGGGAGCCGCTCTGCTCGTGGCTACACTTTCAGTTTTCTTTTCTTTAAAAATACAACGGAATGATCTTCTTTCTTTCTTTCTTTCTTTCCTTCCTTCCTTTTTGGAAGCTCTCACTATATCCCAGGACTTTTCAGCCCTGGAAAGTCGGTTAACCTACTTTCTATAAAATTATCCACAGTGCCTGCACAGTTGTGTTGAATCTACTATTAATATGACATTCCACTTCTAAGTGTCTACACTGAACACAGGTTTCTTAAATCTCTATTTTTTTCTGTGAAAATATGATAGCACATGTGTGTATATATATAGTGTGTGTGTGTGTGTGTGTGTGTGTGTGTGTGCGTGCGCGTATGCAGTTTTTAGGTTTTCATTTATTTGGAGGTTCAGGGATGGGATAAAGATGAGAATCCACACATTAATCTTAGATGATGCTCTCGAATCTTCCTGATAAACCAGGGATGTTTCTAATATGCCCATGACCGTGGTCCTGGGTTGTCCTGTCTTGGCTCACCTTCATCCATCAGACTTAAGTGATTGCTTGGCAAGTCCTTCCACACCTATGCAATACGGTCTTGGCAAACATCCTGGCAGCTAATCTGAGTGTTTGCATGTAAACACTGAAGGAGGAGCTATTCAGCCCCCATATAACGTCCCTGACTATCAGCCCAAATATTGGTAGAATCAGCACACACATGCAGGAGAAAGCTAGCTGACTCAAGCTTTCGAGCAGCCTCAGTGGTTCTGGACTAATTACAATGAACTCTCTTCCCTAGCCTGGCTGTGGCTCCACCCCAAATAAAAGCCTTACTTCCCAAGGGGGAAAAACAGGGCCAGGGCGGAGTGTGTCACCACTGTAGTGGGTTAGGACCATAATTATGATAATAAAATCATCCTGCCGGGCAGGCTTCCCTAGGTCGGTTACGCCATGAAAGAACAAGAAACGCTCCAGGATAAGAAAAGTGACCAGAGAGGAGGGTGGTAGACACTCTGAGGACACCAAGTACAAGACAAGGCAAGTCGAAGAACCATGGCTCGTCAAACTAAAAATAAATATTAGAAGAGAAAAGCACCACCCTGCAATTCTAACTTCTGGGATAAGATTACCAAGATGGCTGCATTATCTATTTAGGCAAGACACCGAGGCTTCAGAGAGGCAGCCAGCGAGGATATAGGGCATGAAAAGGGGAGGAGAGAAAGGGCCGGCCAATGAAAAGTTTATGACGGGACTTGGAACACAGCCTATGGTGAAGTTTTTATTTTTTCTTTTAGGGTTTCTTCCTGGTGTTTAACCCTCTCAGGTAACCACTCAATACTGTCGCTGCTGAGATCGCAATCTCCCCCCTCCCTGTTTTAAAGAACTCTGAAATAAAAAACACATTAACAGTACTTCTTCCCTTCCCCCCCAGAGTTCCACAATAAATCATTGCTACTGTATGCCAGCTGTTTTGAGGATACTGATCGCAGGGAAACAGGATAAAAAATACTATTTTTTAAAAATCAGCTGTCTTTCCTAGATTCGATTTCAGAATGCAAAAGAGTCCCCCCTGCTTAAGAAAGTGCTGGAGCAGACGAGTTCAGGTTGAAAAAGATGCCGGAGAAGCCCCTAAGAAAACGACCTGCTCTCAGCCTAGTGAGGGCTAGCTAGAAAAACAGACCGGGAAGTGAAAGCTACTTCAGACCAGTTAGAACCGTATTTTTTATCCTTTCTGCTCTCCACGTGAGGTCAGAAGGGGACTTGGCTACACGGTTTTGCTAGGGGAGGGGTGTGAAAACACCTAAGACAGCAACAGAAGATGGAGGATTTAAGGGGTTTTCGGTGCCCCCTCCCCACCAACACTCCGCGCGCGTTTGGTGTTGGTGATGCTGACATTCTTAGGGCAGTGAGAAACAATAGCAAAGACTTGGGGAACCCCCAAATATGTCAGTATGGAAAGGGGGTACCTTTGGGAAAGCTAGTTTGGAGGCACTTTTTTTAACTCTTTGTGCACCGGTTGGAGGACACCCCCCACCCCCCACCCCACACCAACCCAGCAAAGAAAACAAGTCTATTAGGATCCCCCTAGCCTAAAGTCATAGGGAAAGCGCTTTCCTTTTGACAGAAGGGAGCTGACTCCCTAGTTTGTGGACCAGAGACTAGGGAGAAATCCAAATGCCTTTAAAAAAAAAGGACTGGGGCATTTGGGGGAAAGGGATTATAGAGAGAAAAAAATAAAATAAAACGTTAAGGTGAAGTTGCAAACCTGCGGATCTCTATCCTACAACAGGAAAGGAGGTGGAAGGAGCGAAGGACAGAAAGGAAAGGGGACAACTGGGACCTGGGGACCTGGAAAGGAAAGGGCGAACGCCTGGGGCTGCTGTGGGGTCTGTGGAGCTCTGGGCCAACCTTAGACTTGGGGATGGAAAAGGCGAAAACCATGGAAACTATACTTACTTTCGGAGGGGAAGTGGGAAGGCATGTCGATTTTATAAACCTCCTTGGCGTAGTACTCTTCGTCGCTCCGCTCGCGCTCGCAGGCGGCTGCCCTCCGGCTTGCCTTTTCCTGCAGTAAGTCCCTGGTACTGTTGTATATGGAAATCACCTCCGGGGGGACCTCGTCCGGCTCAGGATAGTCTTCCGGGGGGCTGGTGAGCTTCAGCTTGCTCAGAATCTGCCCGCGGATGGCCTCGATCCTCTTGCGCATAAACTGGTCCATGTCGAGGGTGCTGCAGGTAGACAGGCTGAGCGCTACCGGGACCAGATGCAGGAGCAAAAAGGTTCTCAGCACACAGTAGTGCATGTTTTTAAAAGGTGGAAACGTTGCTGCTGTTGTTGTTTAAAGTAAGAAAAAATATAAAAAGAAACCAATAATTCTCAGAGCGGATCAGGTAACGTTTTGTGTTTTGTTTTGTTTTGTTTTTTAATGCGAAACTTTTGCAAAGCAATCGAAAGTCAATGCCCAATAGAAAAAGGTCTCTGACTGGAATTCCTTTTAAAAAAGAAAATGCAGCGCGTTCCCAACGTGGAGATATTAATATGCGATGCTCAAGGGGAGGGGGCTTTAAGGAGTAAGAAAGGTTTGTTTTTTCCCCTGGAAGGGAGGGGGTGAGTGGCTCTGAAGTAGAAATAAACTTAAAAGAAGAAATGGAGTTCAGTGTGTCAGGCTCGGGTGCGGAGTGGCGGATCTGAACTCGGATCCTTAGGCCAAAAGGGAAGAGTCCAGAAGGTCCGGGGGCTGGCAGGAGGCGCTCAGGGCCGCAGGGAGCGCAGAGCGGCGGCCGGGGCTGCTCCGGGCTCTAACTGAGATGTTCAAAGACCGAGCGGCTCGGCCCTGCCTTCCACACGTGTGTGGATGAGTGTGCGTGTGGATGTGCGCGCGCGTGCGTGTGCGCGCGCCGAGGGCGAGCCTGGCGAGCCGCGGGGAGGCAGATGCGCCCCGGCGCCGCTCTCTCGGGGACTCGGTGGGGGTACTGTCTGCCCCGGAGATCCGCCGAGGCCCCGGAGCAGGCAGCGACGATCCTGCTCCTGCGGCCGCGCTGTGGCCTACACCCGGCTGGGTCGCTCCACGTTGCAGCCGCCTGCAAAGGGGGTTAGCCTCCAGCTCCGTCCTGCAGATCCTCCTCCTCTTGCTCCAGGCGGCCACGGGGCGACAGAGATCGGTCACCTCCTTCACCCACTGTGGAACAACACCGCCTCCTGGGCGCCTTGGCTGCGGGACGCCTCGGGGACTCGCACCCTTTCCCCAGCCTCTCCTGGCTCCCCGCAAGCTTGCACTTTCTCGGTTAGGGTAAGACCGTACTTGCGACCCTAAAATAGACCTCTGCTGATACCTATTCCTCTCTGCAGCCGGGTTGCTCCAGAACGGCGGTTCCTTAAACCCTAATGCTTCTGCTCCTCATCCCTGCCGCCTGCCCTAAGGCTCAGAGCTCCCTGCTTGTTCTCTCACTCTCTCGCTCTGGCTCTCCGGCTGGCAGCTTTGGCAGCTCCGCTCCCAGCAAACCTTCAGCTGCCAGCAGATAACATCACGATCCTGCCCTGAGCAGAGATTTATAAGTGCTCCCCAAACCACGTGTTTGCCTTCAACAAAGTGACGCGCTAGGATTACAGTCAGAAGTCCTCTGTTACTAAGACCACGAGCACTCGACCGTTGAGGGGGTGTGGAAAAGGGGACGACCCGTGGAGGAGGGCGACTGGCAAGGGAGATCTGCAGCAGTCACCGCGATCACTGAGGACTGTCTGTGTAGGGTCAGGTAGCTAATCACCTCATTTCTCCACGGTGGGGCTCATTCATTCGCAGCCTCCCTGATTTTATAAGTCTGTTTACATCCTAGCCTTGTTTGTCTGTGAACTAGCAGAAGGCAGATGCACCTATGCCACCCAAAGCATGCTCTGTTTCACTGCTCTGAATAAGGGGATCATCACCTTCGCGTGAACTCGCTTCTTGTATGGCTTTCTCCTTTCTTCCTAGACGGGCATTATCGACCGTCTTCATTCTGCCCACAGCACACACCTGGGAGACCTGGATTTTCAATGTTTGATGTCTACTGTTACATAGTGCTCCTAGCCTGACGTTTTCTACACCAACCTGTCCAAACTAGACTGAGACCGGAATCGTTCTTGCCACTCTTCCTTCTTTTCACCTTTGGTCAAAGTCAACATTTCAATTTTAGCAATGACTCTGTGGCCACACTGACTAGACAGATAATTTAAACTGGAAACTGTTGATCATTCCCCCAAAGTCAAGATCTCTGTATCATTTCCTGGTTCAGTCATTTCCAAGTTCAAAACAACCCAAACCTTTAGGGATGTATGCAGGAGATGTGTGTGGGAGGGGCTACATTATTAATAGAGGGAACTGGAGAAATAGTAATGATAGTTGGCATACATTAATACAACAATGAAGAGTTATTTATATTCCTCAGACAAGGAGACAGAGGCCATAGGAAGTGACATCTGTTATGGCAGAGAACAGGAAGTGGTGGGCTGGACATTGCAGGGAAGGCCCGTTGCCAGGTTGCCCGAGTTCTCTCTCACTATGCAATTCAAAGAAACACCAGTCCCTGAACGTCTGACAAACAGGGATTCCGAGGTCCAGTCAGTGAGTGATGCAGAATAGCCTACTGCTCTCTTACAGAACCAAGATTCCCACCATCACCAACTATGTTCTAAGAATCCTGGGGAAAAGTTCCTCTCTTATCACCTGCCCACCCACCTTGAGCACAAAATTCCTCTACTCCACTGACCCTGTAAAACCCTGGAATGAATGGATTGTTCCAATATGCACCTAAATGATCCTGAAAACTATATAAAAACCACCATCATTGGCAGGCTTCTTTCTTCAAGGTCAGGTTCAGATGCAAACAGGTTTGTCGGGGTTAGACAGCCATCTATGACCCTGTAAACTGAAGCTGACCTGATCAAGGGCTTCTGTGTGGCTGATGGTTTCATCAGTGGGAGCCATCCTGTGAAGACAGGAGTGCGAGCTAGGGCTACAGAGGTACCGAGGGCCAATGTCATTTTGGAATGCAGTGGTTTGGGGCGTGGGAGCTAGAGCTACCTAGGGCCAATGGCACTTTGGAATGCAGTGGTTTGTTGGGGGGGTGATGCCAAGATAATCTGCTGAGCACCTAGGGAAGGCCTCCCCTGAAGCCAGAGAGCATCTCACCGCATGCTGACCCTGACCAGCAGGTGTAGGTGCATCTTCGGATGAGTGGATGCGGATAAGGGCACCGGCAGAGCAGCAGCAAGTGCCTGTGTTAACATGTATGTACCTATTCACAGAGACATGAACCCTCCACCATCAATACCCACACTCTTGTCCATGGCAGTTGGCTGAGCAATTACAGCTCTAGCTCCCGTAGGCCTGAGACGGGACCTCTTCCTAAGAGGCTCCTTACATTTCCCCAAAGCCCAGGAGGTGACAGACATCTTCTGGGCAGGTCAAGCATAGTGACCCAAGTCAGCAGCAGAAAAGGAACCCTTTCTGCCTCACGGCAGAACAGTTCTCAAGAGCTGTGCTGGTCACCACAAATGAATACCGTCCTAGCAGCTCTAAGGCCTCTGTATCCCCACACACAGAAAACAAAGCCACATCTATCTAGGCTGGTGTGTACTCAGGGCTCCATGGGCTGTCTGGTAAGAGCACACTGTGTATAGCATTGTGACTCCCTCGGTGCTCAAAAGGACCACACGTTCCTGTCACCGTGGCTTGTGAACCTGAATTACTCAGAGGCTCTGCTCATTTCAGGCCTGTGGGAATAGGACACATGCACAAGACTATAAGGGGGAGTCGTTATACGAGGCTTAGAGAGTGTTAACAACAAAGACGGAGCCTGGTGTCTGCTCGTTAGACTTTAGCTGCCTTGTCTTAGCCTGTGTCCAGGACAGCCATGGGTCACTGTCAGGCACATCTACGGTCTCCATTCTTCATCAGGAAGAAGCAAAGAATGGGTCAGGGAAGGAGTCGTATGAATCTGCTACATGGACACACACACACACACCTTGTTTTATGGCATTTGCCCCTCTGTAATTGTAGACTAAACAGCTAAAATCACACTTTTGATGGAATACAAACTTATATCAGAGTTCAGTTAGGCATTCGACATTAAAGGTTTGGCTTCTAGGCAGAGGTTGAGGGGTGAGGAAGCAGCTGTTTCAAGCCGCAGCCCTGACTACTCACTAATGGGTCTGTTATTCACCTCAGTCATGTGGAGTGCCTACAAAACAAAGCTGCTCGTGCCTGTCCTGGAGTCTGTCTCTTGTTTCATAGCAACAGTTCGACCTGGGGGCTCTTCTCACCAAAACAAGAGGAAAAAATTATTCTGAAAGCTTTCCCAATGCCTTCTAGCATTAGAAAACAAAAACAGGCAGCGGGGGGGGGGGGGGGGGTATATGAAGTTGCAAAACATTTTTTAAAAATTATCAAATTTTGACAAGTTTAAGAATAATCCTTTTCCATTGTTACCTGTAACTTTTATCTTTACAGTTCTTTATGTGTGTGCATGCATGGCACACCTGTGAAGGTCAAAACATAACTCTCCTACTGTGTTATTTTCTTTCCACCATTTGGATTCTGGGAATGGAACTCAGGTCACCATGCCTTTACCCCCGCAGCCATTTTACCGCTCTATGAGTTAATCTTTGATTCCACAATTTAAAAACATGCTTGATCTGTATTAGTCCCCTCCCACTCAGGATCTATGTACCTCTTAATAAACAAGTTTAACTGTGGCCTAATGAGTTTTCTGTAGAAACAAAAAATAATAAAAGGAGTCAAGAGGCTCAGTCAGTAAAGTCCTTACAAACTTCAGGACTTTAGCTGGATTCCCAGCACCGACATAAAAGCTGCATACTGCAGGGTGCATGTGTAGCATCATCATGGGGAGACAAGACAGGAGGCTTCCTGGGGCTTGCTGGCCAGCTGAGACTGTACCAGTGAGCTTCAGGTGCAGTGAACAACCCTAGGTTAAAAAATAAAATGGAGAGTGGGGGGGGGCATCATAGAAAACATCTGACACCAATCCCTGGCCTGCAGAGAGAGAGAGAGAGAGAGAGAGAGAGAGAGAGAGAGAGAGGTGTGTGTGTAGGAGGATACCAATAATCTATTACTATTTTATCTAGCACCTGTAAGTTGATCTCAGTAAGAACTGATGAGCCAATGACAGGAAACACGAAGAGGCCTTAAAGAGACCTGTAGTGGAAGGAGAAATGGCTAGGTTTAAGAGTAAAAACAAAGAAGGGAAGAGCCCAGGCAGCCTTAAAGAACTCATCAGTCTGTGCTGCCAATGCTCATGACCCAGGCCACTGTCATCGACCAGCCTGGAAATAGCTCATCAAGAGTGCAGGTACCGGGTAGCTGGGGCTGTCTCCCTCTCCAGCCTTCTCTAACATTTAACTATGCCTCTAGTTTCTTGACTCTGGTGAAATCCATCCACTAAGACAGCATTTAGCAAGTGGTGTAAGCACACAATACTAATCCCGAGATGCAGGGTTGTAGTGGGAGCTGCGGGCACCCTTCCACATCACAGAGTCAGCAGCAGAATTCCCACTCCTGCTTCTATTATATACCACCTGTGTGGTCCATAGAGACACTAGACAGAGCCAAGGCACTGTGGAAGATGAGCCAACTATTGGGGCCAGACAGAAATTAAAATGAAAGAAGGCACATGGCAAAGAATAGGGTTAGGGTCATCATAAGTTCATCTGGTAGAACCCAAATGGGAGTGTTCTTGATTGTGTTTGTGTGTGTGCGCGAGCGTGCACACACATGTACATGTGCATACTGGGGGCTTGTGTGTGGAAGTCAGAGGACAGCCTCTGGTGTCATCCCTTAGGCGCAACCTACCCTTTCTGGAGACTGGGTATGTGACCGGCCTTGAACTCACTGTACAGTAGGTTAGGCTGACTGGCCAGTGAGCCCCAGGGATCCTCCTGCCTTCACATCCGCAGAGCTCAGATTATAAACACATTTACCATGAAGGACTATTTTTTTTTTTTAATGTGGGCTTAAGGGGATCAAACTTAGGTCCTCTTGCTTGCAAGGCAAGAACTTTACTGACTGAGCCATCTCCACAGAGCCCACATGGAAGCATTTTCAAGATGCGTAAGTTGCAGATGAATTTGTCATCCTTCACCTCAGGGAGCTTCAGACTGTGAAATTCCAAATATGTACAATTCTACTAGCAAAATCACCAGACAATATTTCAAGCAACTCTGCCATTCTACTGCCTCACTCTGCAATTTAAAAACATGAAAATAAAGCAGAAAGCATAAGACAGCAGTAATTGCATAAAAAGAAAACCTCTTTGTGGCTTTTATGACTGGTGGAAAAACTGGTAAATGAGTGTTTTAAGAAGTAAAAGTATATGTTAATAAGTATTTGTGGAAGCACAGCTAGATAGATGGCTCTCAGAGTCCTGACCACAACTCAGTGATTGCTTCAACTCAGAAAAGAAAGTTCAAGAACTTGCAGACAATGAAGTTCTAATTAATGAAATTA